GAACTTGTCCAGCTTCTTGACTACTCCTGTTTAACATGCCTCTACTCAACAGCAGACTATAACTGAGATTCCTTGAATCAGGGAAGCACATATATAATGTATGTTTTGTGGGGTACTTTTGCTACATTTTAGTGGTTTCTATACTTAGGTCCATGATTATAATTTAACCTGTGACCATATGTGCCAAAAGGTAACCAATTGTCCTCCTGTCCCCAAGGCTGTTGTGAGAACAGAGCGGCAGAGGCTAAATGACTAGTTTTAGATATTTCCAGTGTAGCTACCAAAGCAAGTTCTCCATTCCAGAAGGCAAATAATCTGATCCATGTAGATATCTACCTTCAGATTAAAATAATTCCATAATAGTAGGGTAGAATTCAGGTCTAAGTTAATATAACTACATTTAAGAGTCCGGATGTAGGCGAACAGATGTGACCTAGGTGCTTAAGTTTCCATTATAGTTATTGCAACCTAAAAGAGATATTTAGCTACCAGCCAAAGGTGCTGGATTTCGCTGCTTCGACTTAGGTATGCTCAATGCCATCTAAGATGTTCCATGGTATAGGAAATGCTCGTATGCAGTTGACAGAACTGACACAAGACCTCTGAGAGATCAGCATCCTTCAGGAGCAGCAGCTGGAGACCACAATATTTCCAAGCATCTCAGATGACACTAGATGTCTATGGGCAAGGAACTGAATAAAGTTTTAGGTGTTTACTTTAGCGTGAGCTGAATGACTCTAGGATTCATAGACTACACTTATTGATTATAATGGAAGCTTAGACATTAGGTTCATATGTAATTTACACACAGGCAGCTTCTCAGTCTCAGGATGGTAAACCAGATGGAGAGAACTGTGTTCCAAGGAACATTTGTGGAAGAAAAATGCTTTTATTTCTATCTACATTTATGCAAAGACGACTGATGTATTTTTAGTTGTAAGTATCCTAAATTCCTCTGCTCTTCCTATGGAGAGAGTGAATTAATCAGGGATGTAAAATACCAAATGTGTGTTCAACTAAGGGGTTACATGGTAATTTCTAGCATAGTTGCCTTATCTGTATCTTAATGAGCAAGAGTCTGGGAAAAGCTGTGAAATCAAATTCAAGAAGCAACTAAAATTTTCACTCGTGGAAGAAGTCAAATTAAGTGTGACTTAGTAGCAGAAAACTTCCAATACAAAACCCCCCCAAATGTCAGGGAGAACAGCTCATTCAGTGCTCATGGAGAAAAGGAATTAGTTTTACATGAACTAGGTTCTTCATGCAACCACTGTTGCCTGTAGTATTTCTACAGCAGCTGATTCTAATGACTATTACATGGAAGCAATAATTCATTCCAGGGTTACAAATTAGCTGTTCCATGTGACAGCTGTTATCTAACCAAGTTTGATGTACCTGGCAGAGATAGATAAGGGCACAATTTGACTATAGACACTTCAATCGTTCTATTGTAACTAAGGCCCAGAAAGCATTACGACTTAACAAAAACTCCTGGGGAAAACAAAGTATTTCTCATGTTGCCTCTGTGAAATACAGCTTTTCTCCAGGGACCTTTGATTCTCTTTTGCCTTTGTATACGTAGAAGTAAAATGCAAATAATGCAAGATCATTTAATACAGCACCAAATCATAAGTAAAGGTGTAAAATTGCTGCTGTTCAATGGCAGTGGATGGTACATGTTGCGAAGAACTATGTCCAGTGTCCACTCTGGACTTGAATTTGAGCATGGAGACTGGTAACCTTGGAAGGAAGCGACTGTACTTCTCTTCAGAGTTCAGTTTCTTGTGTTAGACTTAGGTCAACCACTCTGTAAAGTGGGAGAAAGAGAGAGATACTGCACCAAACATCCCACTCACTAGTAGAGATCTAACCGGAATCCAGAAGCCGCGATGGCAGTGAGAGATGACAATAGCAGAGAGACTTTTCAGAGACTTACTTCAGTGTTTCGCACATCGGTTACCATTTAGCCAGCTGAGAGCAGCCACTGACAGTTCTCTCACAGCATGCCAGACAGATGTAATAAAGAAACTGAAAACAGTAAGCATCTTAAATGAAAGTCAACGACCATTAACTCGTTAAGTCAGATTAAGTCCGCACAGAATTGTCAGAATAAATTGTGTGTGGAGGAGTATCAAAGACATAACTAAGGTATTTGTAAAAAGGGCAGGAGGAATTACCAGTCACCAGGACACAAGCCTTTTTCCTCCTTTTACCCAAGTCCTTCTGAACAAGGGGACAGCTTTAGATAAAGCAAAGTGAGTGTGTATAAGGAGTCAAGATCTAGGCTAAGAGGAAATATTATGGTAAAAAATGTGCGTTGGACTTAAACTAGTGTAGCTTTTTTCATACCAATTAGCACCACTCATCCTCCTGATCTGACTCTCTCAAGAGCATTTGCCAACTCCAACTCTGTCCATTCCATGGCTTATGGCAACGCTATTGCTGTTGTAATGCTTCCAAAAATGCTCTTTTGTTAGAAGAACATATTTGCTCAGAAAATAGCTGAGCCTATACACTGTATGCAGTCATACCTGTGTCTCCTACTAGTGACAAAAAGATAACTTCAGTTTTAAAACAGATACGGATGTTGGGTTTGCTTTAGATAGAGGACAAGAATGCCTAGGGAAAATTGTGGCCGTTATACAAACAAATACAGTATGCTCCAGCAAAATGTCAATTAGAAGCATTATTGTGCTAAATGAAGATGCTCAGTTTTTACTCTAGAAACTGTACCCAACTCTCTCTGTCCACCTACGGAGACTTTAAACCTACTTTTTTGCTTGCTGTTTGTATTTGAAGTAACAAGATCAACCCTAATCTGACTCCTCGTGTTCCTTGTATTTTCAGTGAACAGTTATACACTACTGATAAATTTTTCCTAAGTACCTTCTCCTCTTCACTCACAAAAGGCAACCAATCCATGTTATTTATACAATTTCGCTTAAGATATTCTCTTAATTCTACACTGATAAATTGCTATTTCAAATTTCTGTTAGAACCAGGAACAGCAGTCATTCCATATTGCTGATATTAAGATTCCTGATTTCATTTTGTAGGGATTTGAGTGACTCAGCATCACATTCCTCACGATTAGGAAACGTTTTACAATTTCACTTTACGATATATCAATAAAATTTTATCTTTCCCTTAATGTGCCCTTCTGAGATGAGCTTGCCATAAAACACATTCACGTGCTGCTGATTTAGCCATAGTTCTCTTGCTGATTTTTTCCATTGCTCAAGACACTTATCATTAATGTAAACCCCATCAACTGTTACTCCCACCTCAGCTAAGAATCTGACTGAAAAGCAAAGACTGGAATCCATTTCTAATTTAGGAAGAAAATAACTGCTTGGGAAGAAAATTACTTACGAGGGAAAAAAAATAATCAACAGCAACAGCCGTTGCAATTACTGTGTGAAATTAAGACATTTACAAATGCAATAAGTACAGACTATAGGTTATATAAGATGGTCAGATGTTCTAGTTCAAAAATACTGGGGTTGTTCCTCCTAAATTTCTGTACCAGCTTAATCAAAGCCAATGCAGACATGCAACTACGCCTGCCCCCTTCTTTTGTCTGTATCCTCTCATCACCTGCTGATCCACTTCTATCCCATTTCCTCTTGACAGCGTCAGATACTGTTTCTGTCTGTTTCATTGTCCAGTTAAGTGGCTGATCTGTCTTCCTCAGTACATTTTCAGCATCCTGTTGTTCTAACTTATCTCCAGAGCACCTGGGCCCAAGAGAAAATAAGAAAGGGGAAGCAAAGAGAAGTGCTAGTGGGTGATGGGTAATGCCAGGAGAAAGCAAGTTCAATGCAAATTAAAAGAAACTGATGCAAATATATTGCAGGGTGAATTAGGCTGGATATGGAAGCTTAGCAGAACATGGGTAAAGATTTGAAATTTGGCCCCTGCTCCCAGGGACTGCTATATAATTCTCAATCACTGTATAATGACAAACAACAACTCTTATTGACAGCAATCTATTTCAGGTAAAGAGGGCTGTGCAAAGGCAAAGCTATGGCTTTGAATCTTCCCAGGCGGGGAAGGGCGCTGAGCTGAGACTCCCATACTTTGAACAAGTGCTCTAACACCGACCAAAAGAAGAAGAAAGAATGTGCTGCCAGTTTTGAAAGTGGTTATTTCTGTTATGGAAAGCCAAACCTGAACGCTGGAACTACTTAAGATTTCAGAGGAGAACGAGAGGCAGGAATATGTAGTTTGGATCATCCCAGCAGGACCTATGCTCTGAGCTGTTTTGCCCTATCAAGACTGAGGTGCTTTGTGGATGTGCTGAAGACCTTCTGTTACTTTGGGAACTTTAAAGTTCGATATTAAAGGAAATATGGTAACTTTAATGGACAGTTGAGTTGAGATTTTGAGGATTTAATTTGGATTTATGTGTCTGCAATCCCCTAAGTCATTTCTTTTGCATCTCAGTTCATGACCATACAAGTCGTCTACTTCAAGTTCTTTGGATCTTTGATGCAACCGAGATTGCAATTGTTCCTATGCTTTTTCAGGCTTTGGATTGGCAGCTTTCCAAGCAGTCAGATATCCATGGGCTTTACTGGTGTTTCTGAGCCAGTTTTCAGAACAGGCACCATATATCTTATATGTTGATGATGAATAATAGAGATATATAGATCTGTTTTCATTTTGAAGAAGGTCTGAGGTTAAAAATAGCAAAATCCGCTTTACGTAAGAGACCAAGAATTAAATTCAGGCTCTTCTCCGTATGCTAACAGCAATAACATGTAGAAGATTCACTCTTCGGCTCATATATCAAGACACATTGTCTCAATTGTCCATGCCTTTCACAAGATGGCCTTAAAATAGAACTCTGATCCTGACGTATTCAGAAAAAATAAAAAAAAAGATGAAAAATCCTGTTTTTAAATAATACTAGAAGTATTTGGAGAACCAAGCAGAAAATCCAGCATTTAATTTTAAAATAAAGCTAGATTTTAAAGGAAGATAAACCAAAAAAGTTTACACTTAAATTTTATTTAGCATTCCCATTCATGTAATATTTGCCCAGTGATAACATTTATGATTTAAACTGTATTTCAATATTAGTGAAAGAATGTATTTTCTTTTGTCTTGCAGAAGAAACACTCAAAGGTCAGCAACTGTAATTGAAGGTCAAAATCTCTCCTGACTCTTGTTCTCTTCGTATAGGAGCTGGTTTAAAACACTGCTCTGTTTGAGAGCTTTTAGATTGGATATATCTTCACTTACAACAGGGATATCTTCACTTTGATCCTCAGTTATCAGATCTTCACTGTCTGACAGCGTACACAGGAGTGTATCATTTTCATAGGTAGGAAAATAATACCTGAAAGCAACAAGGCATAATTACTAGATAGTCACATATTTTGTTTGAAAGCGGCAGAGAATATTGTATGAGATTAATTTTAAAAAAGGAAAAATGAGAAAGTCTGGTTGTCTAGAATGAGAGTAAGCAGCACACCCAAAAAATCAACTGGCATGTACATCTTAGAAGAGTCATGCAGACGAGTTGGCAACAGACAAGTCCTTCCCCCTATTTCTTCACCTGTATGTTGTCACAACTCAGGCCACAGATCCAGATTTGTCCCACAACAAATGCTGAACTGAGATGTTTGAGTTAGAACACTCCCTGTGCTTTACCACCTATGGCATCATCCCCCAGACCTATTCAGCCTACTTACAATCTGAATCAGTGTTATGTTACGCTTTCTCTCCATTTGCTATGGAGAAAACTAAGGGTAAACAACCAACTTGTTTTGATGCCTAAGGTAGACATTACACGTATATCTGTATTAGACATGCAACAGAAGGGGTTTGGGTTGGTTCTAGAACTATATGCCCAGAGCGTATCTTGACTAGCAATGAAATATGTGCCAGATGCCCATCCCAGGCATGATCTCCATCTGTGTAGAGAGCTAACGGCTGGAAGAATCTCATGCCTACAACTGGGGCATTCGAGATGCCACTTTGGTGCACAGATTCAACCTTGGTTCCACCAGGAGGGACAGTGCTCTGAGTGCACCATGTATGCCTTTCACCGTTCACTGCACAACTGCAAATACAGGCAAAAGACAATTTTGCAACAATAAACTTCTCTAGCATACTGACTTGACAGTGCAGACACAATTTATGGCGATAGTGCATCCTAGATGCAACTAGAAGAGCAGTGTCACATGTTCATTTTAGCTTCAGACAGTACAAGGATTTATAATTCTGAGTAATTTTGAGACCATTTATTATTTTATCTAGGCCAGCAGAGCTGAGGAGCTCAGGGTACCGTTGCACTGGCAAAAAACAGAAGTGTCAACACTTCTGTTCTTACAGACATTGTCAAGTAGCAGTATAAATACTGGAAGAAACACGTGTGCCCTTACTGTGGTTGATCCCATGTAGACCTGGCTGGCAGGAATGTAATGTGTTCGGTCTCTTCCATATGACTTATTAATCCTCCTTTAGACTGAAATTTCTCCTGGCAGTTGTAACAACGACAATGATGGATTTCTCTTCTGATGAAGTTCACTAGCTTTACTTGCTGATAAAAGTTCAGACCTGGGAGAGATGGTAGTGAACAAGCACTTGAGGAAAATGAGACTTAATTTACAAATGCTTTCTTAGATTAAGCATAAAGATTGATAAAGGTTTACTGAAGACCAGAACTGAATGCTGTAACTTAGCAAATTAACTGAACAAATGCTTTTTCCCAGCTGCAGGGAAACTCGCCTTTCTTTTAATGTAAAAATTGCCAACACCTTGCTTCCTCTCAGTCTACAGCAGAAAGCAAACATTGGCCAAACATAGCTTAGAGTACAGCCTTCTAACTTACAAGCAAGTCTTAACAGGAATAACAACAACAACAATAATAATTCTTCCAGGGCTCCATCAGCTGGACCTGGGACTCATAGAGTGGGTATTTGTAGAAGCCACTTTGCAAAAGAATCTAATGGTTTTAAAGAAAATATCACACATCCTTGGCACTAACAACAGTTCCAGAAAAACAGAGCGTTCTTGGTGTTCTTTTGTAAGCTGGCAGAAACAGGTTCCATAATGGAAAAGTTAAATGTCCGAACAAAAATCAAATTGATACAGTTGTTTTTCACTATTCTTATGATGTAGTTTTCTCCACACTATTGGCAAATGCTGACAATTACAGCATCTCTTACTCACCATGCTCTGACTTTATTTTAGGAAAGTCAAATCCATGTGATTTCTGGAGAAAAAAAAAAAGGAGAAAATAAAATATCTTATTTCCACTACTTCTACTATTCCAAGATAAAAACAGCTCAGCTTTTCATAGACTGACACAGACATATGCATATAAACATGCAAACACTAAAACATGAAACAAATGCCCAAAAATTTTGTTTCATCAGAAACTTTCGTATTCTGTTGAACTGCAACGGTCCTGTTAGATAGTTTATTAAAACTGAAACACAGATGCTAACCATCAAATGTATTGTATGATCAAGTCACTATAATATTAAAGATGCTACCTCTTTATTGTCTGTATGAGTCTGTACGCTCACAAGTAATAGCTAGTCATACTCTCAATATAAAACTTGGCTCCTCTGCATATTTTAGAGAACAGATGCTGGAGATGCATGCAGTGCTTTAGTTTCTGCGCTAAAGAGGGCATTCTAATGCAGCAGCTGATTTGATCTTAACAAAGATGCTACAATCTTAATTTTTAATTCCAAAGTGATGAAAGAACAGATATTTAAAACAAGTCTTACCTGCATGTGAAGATACAATTTTTCTGTGGTGTCTGCTTGTTGTTCACAGAACAGGCAAACTGCACACACAGGATGCTCTTCCCAGTCAGACCAGTCTCTTATGATTAAGAGTCAAAAAGATTCATTTAATTGTGGAAAAGAGAAGAGACATTTTATGAAAGGGCACTTTACATTCTGCACTCACAGCACTAGAACTAAATCCAGAGAAACTGAATGCTTTAAAGGGGTGGAAGAGAAAGTGTGGATTTATACCTGGATACACGATTAGAATCTGGTTTACGGTCTAAAAAAATTACAAATTCAAGAATAACTGAGCAGTTACTGTTGTGTAATTCCCGTGCAGACAGGCAGTAAGGCCTGCTTGAATTTGCCTGCACTAACAAACAGCATCTTAACTTCAGTTTCTATCCAATTTGGCAAATCATAAAATATTGCGTTCAGTGTTTATTTTTATAAGGTCTTTTAAAATTCTTTTATACCTTTCTAATCTTTCAAGACACCAGCCAAAGATATAATCATCAGGCAGAGTTCATTCTAAGTGTTATTTACTTATCAAATATTATTATTCCTGAAAGGGACGCTAATTTATGCTACATTTAGACATGCACACAGAGAATGCTTTACCCACAAATCTATTTAGAACTCCAATACTGCTGAGAGATAGAAATATTATTGCAACCAGGTATAATCAAGTAAAATTAAGCTCAAGTCACAGACAGAACCAGGAAGGTCAGGGGCCCTGATACCCACAAATTACGTGCTGCTTATTCAATTCTCTATGGCCAAGGAAGCCACCTCTGCAGTGATCTGAGGGTCTGGACCGCAGAAGAATGCAGAGGAGAGGTGGATGTTGCCCTCAATCAGTTTCCTTTGAAATCCTGTTATCAGACTTTTCCATACCATTTCTTTCTCATGCTGACATTTTTGATGCTTACTCTTGATTTTTAAATTTGAGCAAAACCGGTTCAACCATTTTTTAGTACAAAAGTAAAAAAAAAAACCCAAAACATTTTACCTACATCATTACAAACCCAAAAGGCTGTTGTTTGAGCTATATGCAAACAAAAGATAGGCTTGTGGTTGAAATATGAAATTTATAGCCCTTGTTGTGGAGAAGTGTCTTTGATGAGAACAATTTGGAGTTGATTTGATCAGCTTAAATGAATTTTAACTGTGTACTAACAATGCACAGCATTTTCCCTGTAACTACTTTCGACCATAATGGTCTTGCAAATCTTTATAATGGGCACATAAGTAACTCTTACTCTTCTAGGTTATCTAGTAACTCCCGGTCGTCCTCTGACTGCACTTCCTCCCAGGACTTTCCAAATTCCTAGGGAGAAAGAAGAAATGAAAAAGAAAAAACATTTCCTGATTCACATCACATTTTATATATCAACTGAATGAACGTCTGGGAAGTCACTATCAACACCTTGTTTTAGATCACTTTGGTATTTCTGTGAGTTAAAGGTAGTCATACAACACTGCTTTAGTAATAATTTTTAAAATAACGATTTGTTTTGTCTTTTAATGGGGCATTCCCCACCCTACGCCTGGGAAGATGATTTGGCACAGAGCTCTCAAGAAGAGGATCCAAGCTCTGTGTAAAACTAGAGTGTTGCAACACTACCAAGATGTTCCCGAGGTGGGTATGTTACCACTGCCTCGAGTTTGCCATCTCACTTGCTCAATCCAATCTGCTTACCTTGCTCTTCATGCAGCATATGCTGCTTAAACAATGCAGCTATCACACCTGAGACTTCAGTTGGCATAGCTACACCAGTCAGTGCTCGTACCTTGTACAAGGTTATGTCAGTAAAAACACATGGTGTAAACCTAGCTAGAGCACGCTCCAGAAAGGCAGTATGAGCCAGGGCACAGATCTCTGAGCTAGATTCCAGTTTCTCTTCCATCCTCTTCTCAGATGTGAATGTAAGCACATCTATTCATGGTGTTCTATTTTTCCTTTTACTTTTTGTGTTGTTTATTTATATCTTAAAGACCTTCAGCACAAAGTATATCACAATACATTTGTGCAGCGTTCAGCACAATGGCGAGCACTCTCAGCATGACTGTGATATAAATAACAGGCAATAAAAAGCTGAAGCACTCTACTGAAATACCAGCAGTGATCTTTAGCTAGTGTTTTTCTTTCCTCTGATTCTTCCTGCCTTTAAAAATAAACCAGAGCAAACTAACCAGTAATCAAAATAGTATTTTTGAACTCATACTTTTGACGGCTGTGAAGGATTCACAAAGATCATAGTCCACGATCTTGTCTCCATTAAAAAAAAGAAAAGGCAGCTAATAAAAAGATCATTCTTTCATTTATTTCATTCAAATATTCCCTTTGATAAATATATTTACTAACATCCTTAGTAGCAAGTGTTATTATTGTCTTTATGGTTGTTTGGAATAAGAAGGAAAAGATATCCATCATTTAACAATTTAATGAGAATTTTCAAAGCTGTTAGTGTCTATCGGGTAAATGATAAACAAATGTCTCTAGACAGCTCTAAACATAATGTCATCATATATTACAGAATGAAAATTCAGTAATTAATTCAGTGATGCTACATGGTAGTGTGTAAACTCTCTGAGTTACAGGGGAGACTCATTAATGTCACCATTACTGTGAGATAACATGAAGCCATTAACACCTCCACCACATGTTCTCCCAGCTGCACACTAGTTTCCTATGGCTGCTGATGTTAACACCTTAACGAGAGGATAGCGGCTCACAACCACTGCAAAATGAAGACGAATGCTCACAATTTTTCCCCTTACCAGCTTGAAGTATATGTGCACAAGAGTATTTTCAAAACAGCAGCCAGTATTAAGCTTCACCTTTTAATTAAAGGTGAAAGGGGAAAACCATGCACAAGCTTTGCTATTGTTGCTGTTTCTTTATGGTGTTTCTGCGAAGAAGGCAGAGAAGGATCTTGTAAGAGGTCTCTGTTTCCCTCATCCATTTATATTCAGAGGAGAAAAAGAAAGGAAAAAGGACAAAGCTAATCAGGTCTTGTATCACTGGAAAATTGCACGGTGGATAACCAGAGACACTGTGATGAAAGTGCTGAGAGACTGAAGCTG